TCGCAGTATCATAGTGATTAACTTTTCGAGATTCTACAACGCCCAGGGCTCGAGTTCACCTTGAGGCACTTATGAGACCAAGGCAAAGTCTAAAGTGCAGTCGAATCAATTGAGGATTAGAATACCTTTTGGGAAATAAGGCTATATGAAATCCAATGGAAATATGAGGCCTACTCATAACATTGTGGGAAAATTCAAGTATAATTCCTTTGTAAGCTTAAACGAAATAGGGTGAAAATATCTCATATATAAAAAAACACTGGTAACCTCAAAAAACTAGTTATAAAGAAAAAATATATTAAATATCATTTGACTTGTCTAACTTCTGGTCAGGATGTTTATCTGCCGAACTAAATTGATGGGAAATTATTGGATCTATGATAAGTAAATAGGCAGAATGAAGCGGAAAATCCGAATATATACCAACTCTGAATGTATGTGAAAATATTCTTTATGAAGGCACTGGATGCATTTCAAAAACTTTTTCCCTCTTCCTATTCTGAGTCATGTTGATGATAGATAGTTACAAACTTAGAATGGATACTCTAAATTTGATGGATAGATCCTAGTCTTGGAACGAAGACCTAGTTTATTTAAGTAGCTCACAAGATCTTTAATGCTTAGGTCTATTCTTAGAAAATCCTTACTAATAAGATCTCAAGACCAAGATAGTGTGGTATTGAATATATTCTATCTGTAGGGCTGAGACCTATTTTTCTAAAGTTGTCTGTGTTTATAAAGAAATTCATTGAGGCACATCCTAGAATAAGTTGCATACCATCACTAAGGCAACTTAATTTTTAACATCTGAGTCTGGCACTATTACTTAATACCAAGTCATCACAAGCATATTTCTGAAGCCCATCATCATTTTATCAGTAAAATGAGTGAGTAAAGCAAGTTAATAGGATGGTTATAATCTTTTAAACGGGGTTCCATAATTATTTCTTGGAGAAAAAAACTAGATCAAGCTCTAAGAATGTCTAAATTCGATTTAGCAATCATAATAATGGATAGTATGAAGACCAAGATGGTGCGGCCTTTTGTGTGGTCGCAGTCTCCTTTCGTTGTTAATAGGCTGTTTGACCTTGTTTTCGCAACTTGGTCCTATTAGTGGAAAGACATATAGGAACGCACCTAGTCCAGAGTCCATTGCATGCATGATCATTTCCAAACTCGGGCCGTGGGCGTGGTACATTCTCAGACGTTTCGCCGGCATCGTCAGTGAGTCTCGTCATTATTAGCACCACACAACAACTCGTCCAAGAGATAAGTGAAGCCGATCCTTTGACCAAACGTTGTGGTATCTCTCCTTCTACCCTGGGCTATTCGCAGTTCCAATATCCCTCTATCACGCCTTCACTGTTACAATTTTTTACCGTTCTTATTTTGATGTAGTGGGGTGTGCTCCTTTGGGCGGCATTCATTAAAACCCTCGACACTTCACGCCGGCGTTCTCATCCCTTCACCCTTGTGCTATAATTGTTGATTAGTCTGCTGTATTGTTACGCAGCCCTCCTTCTCTAGGTTTTATCACAGTCTCTCTCTTGCACCGTAAGATCCGTATGCTCTCTCCCTGGTTCACGTATTTTACTTTACCCCTGCCACCGCATCTGTGCTAATCGAGGCGTTATTCGCCCTCCCCTGCGCCTAGGTGACTAATTCGAGGCTAAGGCCTCTGAGTAAATCTCATGGGCATGCCTTCGCTACATGGACCTACTATCAGCCAATTAGCTTCAATCGCCGCCGCGTCTATCCTGTCTCTATCCCTAATACCAAGTCGATGACTTGCCATGCCATAATTGCTTGTGTGCCAACCCACAAATGTTGTAGTACTGCTGGCTTTGATTAGGTCACGTTTGTGGGTTGGCACACAAGAGACTAGGTCATGGGAAGTCATAGACTTGGTATTAGGGATAGAAACAGGATAGACGCCGCGGAGACTGGAGCTAGTTGGCTGACAGTAGGTTTTACAAAAGATGTGGTTCATGTAGCAAAGTCGTGACCATCAGACTTACTCAGAAGCTTTACCCAGACGCAGGGGAGGGCGAATAACGCCTCGAATAGCACAGATGCGGTGGCAGGGGTCGACTGAAATACGTGAACCAGGGAGAGAGCAGACGGATCTTACGAGGCAAGAGAGACCTATGGAAGGAGGACTGCGTAACAATATGGCAGACTCTGATCAACATTCCCAGCACAAGGGTGAAGGGGGGAGGGGGGGGAGAACGTCAGCTTTGAGTGTGGAGGGTCCTCATAATTGCCGCTCAAAGGAGCACACCCTACTACATTTAAATAAGCACGGTAAAAATTGTAACAGTGAGGGCGTGATAGGAGGATATAGGAAATGTGAATAGCCCAGGGCAATAGAGGAGATACCACAACTCTTTAGCACACGTTTGTTCAAAGGATCGGCTTCACTTGTCTCTTTAACTAGTTGTTGTGTGGTGCTAAGAATGGCGAGGCTCACTGACGATGCCGGCGTAACGTCTGGGAATGTACCGCGTCCACGGTCCGACTTTGAAAATGATCATGCATACAATGGACTCCGGACTTGGTGCGTTCCTCTAAGTCTTCATACCAATAGGACCAAGTTGCGAAAACAAGGTCAAACAACCTCTATAATAATAATGGATAATTTATTTGTAAAAACTAATCATAAAGGCTAAATTAAAGAATAGAAATATTTTCCAATAAAATCCAAGAGGTCTTACAAGGCAATAGCATCCGCACCAGGAAAAGTCAAGACGCCGAAGGTGAGCCTGAGAAAATTTATTAATTGGCGCCATCAGCCCGTCGATCCCTTCCTCCTCTTCTATCTCTGATTCTTCATAATCAGCCCCTGCTAATTCCTCCTGCTCATGATCACTAGCTTCGTCAACACAATGATCCGGTTCCCCAGCTTTAGCGAAATCATTTTTGACCTCATGCGATACTTCTCTGACGTTTGAGATTCTATCCGCGATTTCCTGCGAAGCCAAAACACCCCGAGGGATGGCAGTTCCCACCGATGATGCAGAGACCAATTGCAAAGCTTGCGCATCGGTAAGGCATAGAGAAAAACCACCTTGGCGGCGTGGCACTCTAAGATTTTTTTTTGACAATTGCGAGATATAAGAGTGGCAGGCCGAGGTAGATGGTGAACTCAGGTGTGGATCGTCATTGTACAATATTATCGGCTGGCTCTGGCTCTGACTACGAGGCCGAAGACGATTCTGAAGGGTATTGTGTTGTGGAAAATTCGGACCAGGATAGGGTAGGCCCTCGGTTTCAGAACAACAGGCCTGACGACGCTGAAGCATCTGGCGGGCAAGCAGCTGCTCTTTCATACGTAGACGAAGATGGCCATCCACCTGTTCACCTAGCCTTGACACAGCAGGCTGTACGGGTGGACTAGGGTTAGACAGACATGTCTGAGGCGAAACAGACCGGGGTGGAGAGTAAAAGGAATCCATGGATTGTCTGAGACATACTGTAAAGGTCGAGATATGATAGGCAAGCAGTAATAAAGAAAATAAACTATATTAAGTAAATAATTCAACTTTAATGAGTGATTATTTAAAATGAATGAGACTAAAAGCCAACATTCAACAGAATCATCTTATTATAATACTTAAGTCTTAAAACTAATTTTAAATAAATAATTAAATAGGCTTAAGAATTTCAAGGCTCACTGATGATGCCGAATACGATGCCGGCGAAACGTCTATCCACGGTCAGATGCTGGGAATCATGACAACTACTATGGTAGACGACTTCGGACTAGGTGCGTTCTACATGGTCTCCCTGAGAACAAGACCAAGTTGCGGAAAGATTTATTGTTCACCCTATTTCGTCTAAGTTGACAAAAGACTGGTAGTTGAATTTTCCTACAATGATACTAGTAGAGATGACATTTCTGTTGAATTTCAAACAGCATTGCTTTCCCAAAAGGAGTTCAGATATATGATGGAATGAGGTTTCGACCTCGCCAAGGTCTTATCAACACCCCCAGT